TAAAACCAGGACTAAACCAGGACTAAACCAGGACTAAACCAGGACTAAACCAGGACTAAACAGGACTAACAGGACTAAACCAGGACTAAACCAGGACTAAACCAGGACTGACTAAACCAGGACTAAACAACTAAACCAGGACTAAACCAGGACTAAAACCAGGACTACTAAACCAGGACTAAAACCAGACTAAACCAGACTCTAAACCAGGACTAAACCAGGACTAAACCAGGACTAAACCAGGACTAAACCAGGACTAAAACCAGGACTAAACCAGGACTAAACAGGACTAAACCAACCAGGACTAAAAACCAGGACTAAAACCAGGACTAAAAGACTAAACCAAACTAAACAGGACTAAACCAGGACTAAACCAGGACTAAACCAGGACTAAAACCAGGACTAAACCAGGACTAAAACCAGGACTAAACCAGGACTAAACCAGGACTAAAACCAGGACTAAACCAGGACTAAACCAGGACTAAACCAGGACTAAACCAGGACTAAACCAGGACTAAAAACTAAACCAGGACTAAACCAGGACTAAACCAGGACTAAACCAGGACTAAAACCAGGACTAAACCAGGACTAAACCAGGACTAAACCAGGACTAAAACCAGGACTAAACCAGGACTAAACAGGACTAAACCAGGACTAAACCAGGACTAAACCAGGAACTAACCAGGACTAAACCAGGACTAAACCAGACTAAACCAGGACTAAAACCAGGACTAAAACCAAGTCTAAACCAGGATTGAACCAGAACTAAAAACAGAACTAAACCAGGACTAAAACCAAGTCTAAACCAGGACTAAAACAGGATTTAACCGGGACTAAACCATTACCTCAAAGTCCTCGTCCGATTCCGGGTCCAACACATGCGGCTGAACGCGCTGTGTCTCCATGATGAATAAAAGTTTATTCCTGCCGCTGTCAGGGTCACGTCTGTCTCCCCCTCCCTCCCTGAGACGGCGGAGGAAGGGCGGCTCACTCGTCGCCTACGTCACGTTTGGAGGGCGGAGCCTGTGCTTTCTCAGGACGGGCGGGGGGAGGAGCAATAGTCGGACTTTTATAGTTCCTGATCTGTGACTGATCCAAGAAATCAAGAAATCGATCTAACTATTGTGTCATGTTCCAAAATCCAAATTGTGTTGAATATGTGCAGAAGATACAATGTGAAAAGAGTTATTTATTATTTTACATCAGGTGGGACAGTTTTAAAACATCAGAAACAGGAGCATAGAGACGAAAAATCAGATTTGTGTCACAAGTTTTTAGAGACATTTTCTCTTCACAAACACGACTGAACACATCAACACGACCAAAAACTCAACTTGGAAACAGTAACAAAGAACTGAAATTGTAAATATAAACTCGCTGTTCATACGCTGTTTCTTTTTCTTGAAATTCTGTGGTTGTTTAATTGGGTTTGGCCTGAAAAGTACTTTTTACTTCAGTTTAAACCCTTTCGGTCATGATCTGTGGGACTGTGTGTGTGAAGAGTCCCTCAGTCGTTCAGGTAGAATCCACGACCAGGAGAAAATTCAGTTTGTCGACTGGACAAAAGTTTAGTTTAGTTGAAGATGTTCCTCAGTTCGTCCAAGCTGCTTTTTCAGTTCTGTCAGACTCTGGTGACTCTTCCTTACATCTGCAGGAGGAGCTAACTACACTGAAACTCCTCTGGAACTAACACACACTTGTTTACAGTTTGTGTTTGTTAGTTGGGTCTGTTGACCTGTACAGGGTGTGGGGTCTAATGAACAGAACAATTCATGGTCATAATGGAGCTTCCACACCTCTGGTCCTGACCTGACTCCACCTGTTCTTCTTGTTTGTTTTGTTGGAGGTTTGAGGATGGACGTGTAAACAGGAGACAGATGGAGTCTGAGTCCATTTCTGTTTAGAGAAGGATTCTCTTTGTTAATAAAAATGGTTTCTTTCACTCTCCTCTCAAACCAAGAGATGAACATCAGACTGAGGTCCTGTGTTGTTCTCTCGTCTGTGTTGGTTCTTGTGAAGTGTCTGTTTAGTTTCTCCAGTGTAACGTTCACTACAGTCTTCAGTCTTTTTGTTGCGAGGTGGTTCACATTTCCAGTTAAGTGTGACTTGTGTGTGAATCTCCAGTGTGAACTTTAATCCAAACGTCCGTTTTTCCCCGGACATGTCTGTTTTTCATGTCCTGTTTTTTTCGTGTGGGTTTTTTTTAATTTATTTTTTTAATAAAGTGATGCAAATGTCTGGGTTTTCATCACTGTTCATTGGGTCGTTAAACCTCCTCAGATGATGTGTGGACCTTGGATTTGACATTGACATTTGATTTGGACACTGAAGTGTTTTTAGATTGATTTGGTGTTTTTTTTAAACAAATTGCAGTGTATTTCTGCCTCCCTCCCATGTGACAACGAACTAAAACTGCTACAACGATGGTGCGGCAGATTCACCTATGACACCTTTTTTTTTTTTTCTAGAAATTCTGTTGTTGTTTAATCGGGTTTGGGTTAGAAATACTTTTTCCTTCCGCCTAAATCCTTTCAGTTATGATCTGTGGGACTGTAGTCTGTGTTTTGTTTTGTAGTGCTGCTGACTACTGCTACTAACTACTACTACTACTACTACTTACTACTACTACTACTACTACTACTACTACTACTACTACTACTACTACTACTACTACTATTACTCTAAACAGACAGTTCTTTTCGTTTACTTTGTCCCGACATTTCGCTGTGATGAAACCGTTTCGCTCTGCGTCGAACTCGCCTCAGTTTGTGTTTCAGATCCTCGGTTTGTTCGTTCGTTCCGTTGTTTTTTCTCCGGGTCGACGTCGGTTTGTCCTCGAGTCCCGAGCTCCAGAAAACTCAGAGTTCGTCCTGTTCGTTTCTCTAAACCGTCTGTGAGAATTACAAGGTGAATTTGACTGTTGGTGTCGTGTTAATATCTTCACAAACCAGAGAAATCTAAACCTGTGAACGTGCGCGAGGAGAGCGGAGAGGAGGCGTGCCGTGTGCAAAGAGCTGCGGGTTTTCCCAAAGTCCCGGCGCTCCGGAGGAAAACCGCAGCTGTCACTCAAACTTTATTACAGATTATTAAAGAAGAAGTGGATTTAAATGAAAGAGGAAGTGGATGAAAACTGCTGCTGGAGGTGAAAATATGAAAACCATAATAATCACAGAGTTTGTTTTGGAGAGTTTCTTCATTATAATATTGTGTTTGTCATTTGAAGATGTTTTATGTTTCTGAACACGTCGAGAAGAACAGAAAGAACAGAAAGAACAGAAAGAACAGACGGTTTCTAAAAGTATAAAGTGATTTTTCTGCTCTCGTTTGTACAAACTCAGAGCCACAGAGATTTTCTACATTAAATAATATTTTCTGTTCTCATGTGTCACATATCTGTGTGATCCTGGTTTGGTCCTGGTTCAGTCCTGGTTTAGTCCTGGTTTAGTCCTGGTTTAGTCCTGGTTTAGTCCTGGTTTAGTCCTGGTTCAGTCCTGGTTTAGTCCTGGTTTAGTCCTGGTTTAGTCCTGGGTTCAGTCCTGGTTTAGTCCTGGTTTAGTCCTGGTTTGGTCCTGGTTCAGTCCTGGTTTAGTCCTGGTTTAGTCCTGGTTTGGTCCTGGTTTCCTGGTTTAGTCCTGGTTTAGTCCTGGTTTTAGTCCTGGTTTAGTCCTGGTTTAGTCCTGGTTTAGTCCTGGTTTAGTCCTGGTCAGTCCTGGTTTAGTCCTGGTTTAGTTTAGTCCTGGTTTAGTCCTGGTTGGTCCTGGTTCAGTCCTGGTTTAGTCCTGGTTTTAGTCCTGGTTTAGTCCTGGTTTTTGGTTTAGTCCTGGTTTCAGTCCTGGTTTAGTCCTGGTTTAGTCCTGGTTTAGTCCTGGTTTAGTCCTGGACCTGGTTTAGTCCTGGTTTAGTCCTGGTTTAGTCCTGGTTTAGACCTGGTTTAGTCCTGGTTTAGTCCTGGTTTGGTCCTGGTTTAGACCTGGTTTAGACCTGGTTTTAGTCCTGGTTTAGTCCTGGTTTAGTCCTGGTTTAGTTCTGGTTTAGTCCTGGTTCAGTCCTGGTTTAGACCTGGTTTAGACTGGGTTTTAGACCTGGTTTAGACCTGGTTTAGTCCTGGTTTAGTCCTGGTTTAGTCCTGGTTTGGTCCTGGTTTGGTCCGTGTGTGTATTCTAGTCTCTTACATTTGTCCTGGTCCAGTTCCAGATTGTTCTAAACACATTCAGCAAAGGTTCTTCTCGGTTCTTCTCGGTTCTGCTCGGTTCTGTCAGTGGTTCTTTTTTAGGATCCAGACGTGAGGAACATGAGGAGTGAGTTTTGATTCTGGTTTTAGGTTCGGTTCATGTTCTGACCTCCTGAGAGTCTTTGTGTTTTACTTCAGTGATAGTTTCATGTACATGAGCTCAGGATGTGGTTTGGTCTGAGTGCAGCAGCAGAACCTGAACATCTGAGGTCCATCCTGCTCCTCTGGCTCGTCTCTCGGTCCTATGGCTCGTTTCTGGCTCATCTCTG